AAAAAAAAAAAAAGAAAAGCAATGAAACTAAAAGCTGATTCTTTGAAAAAATAAGTAAAATCAATAAACCTTTTGTTAGTTCCATCAAGAAAAACGACACAGGACCCAAATAAAATCAAATGAAAGAGAAGTTACAACTGACACCATGGAAATCTAAAGGATCCCAAGAGAATACTATGAACAATTATAAATCAACAAAATGGAAAACCTAGAAGAAATGGATAAATTCCTTGAAACACAGAACCTTCCAAGACCAAATCACAAAGAAATAGAAAACCTGAATGGACTGTTTACAAGTAATGAAATTGAATCAGTAATTTAAAAACTCCCAACAAACAAAAGTCCAGGAGCAAACACTGTTACAGATGAGTTCTATCAAATATTTAAAAAAGAGTTAATACCTCTTCTTCTCAAATTATTCCAAACACCTGAAGAGGAAGGAATGCTTCCAAACTAATTTAACAAGGGTAATATTATTCAATACTGGAATCAGACACCACAAAAGGAGAAAATTACAGGTCCATATTCCTGAATGACACATATGCAAAAATCCTCAACAAAACACTGACAAACTAAATTCAACAATACATTAAAAGGATCATATACCACAATCAACTGGGATTTATTTCAGGGATATAAGAATGGTTCAACTTCTATATATCAATCAACGTGATACATCACATTAACAAAACAAAGCATAAAAATCCTATGATCATCTCAATAGATGCAGAAAGAGCATTTGACAAAATTCAGTACCCATTTATGATAAAAAGTCTTGAAGTGGGTATAGAAGAAATGTATCTCAAAATGACAAAGGCCAAATATGACAAACCCACAGCTACCATTATACTCAAAAGAGAAAAGCTGAAAGCTTTTTCTCTAAGATCAGGAAAAAAACAAGGATGCCTACTCTTGCAACTTTTATACAACATAGTATTGAAAATCCTAGCCACTGCAATTAGGCCAGAAAAAGAAACAAAAGGCATCTAAATTTGAAAGAAAAAGGGGCACCTGAGTGGCTCAGTCAGTTAAGCATCTGACTTCGGCTCAGGTCATGATCTTGCAGTTTGTGGGTTTGAGCCCCTCATCAGGCTCTGTGCTGACAGCTCAGAGCCTTGAGCCTGCTTCAGATTCTGTGTCTCCATCTCTCTTTGCTCATCCCCAAGTCATGCTCTGTCTCTCTCTCTCTCTCTGAAAAATGATAATAAATAAACAAATACATAAATAAATACATAAATAAATGTAAAGAAAGAAGTAAAACTGTCACTCTTTACAGATGACATGATACTATATACAGAAAATCCTAAACACTACTGGAGCTAATAAACCAATTTAGTATACTTGTAGAATACAAAATTAACATACAGAAATCGTTTGCATGTCTATACACTAACAACAAGCTACCAGAAAAGAGAAATAAAGAAAATAATCCCATTTATAACTGCATCAAAAAGAATAAAATACCTAGGGATAAATTTAACCAAATAGGTGAAAGACCTGTACTCTGAAAAGTGTAAGACACTGATGAAAGAAATTGAAGCAGACACAAACAAATGAAAAGACACACAGTGCTCAAAGACTGGAAGAATTAATATTGTTTAAATGTTGGTATTAGCCAAAGAAAT